TCAACGCGAAGCCCAGAACCCTAAACCCTTGACCCTGAACCCTGAACCCTGAACCCTAAACCTTAAACCCTAAACCCTAAACCCTTGACCCTGAACCTTAAACCCTAAACCTTCAACGCGAAGCCCAGAACCCTTAACCCTTGACCCTGAACCTTAAACCCTAAACCTTCAACGCGAAGCCCAGAACCCTGAACCCTTGACCCTGAACCCTGAACCCTGAACCCTGAACCCTAAACCTTAAACCCTAAACCCTAAACTCTAAACCCTTGACCCTAAACCCTCAACGCGAAGCCCAGAACCCTAAACCCCAAACCCTGAACCCTAAACCCTAAAAAAACCCTAAACCCTAAAACCTAAAACCCTAAACGCGAAGCCCAGAACCCTAAACCCTAAAACCCCAAACTTCAGCTATTTGAGCCTCAGAGTCGAGGCGAAGGCTGCGGCCGCCGTGCGCAGTTCCAAGGATCCAGGCCTGGGCAGCTCTTTGGCCTCCCCAAGGGGTTGAAGTTGGGTTCAGGGTTTAGGGTTCAGGGTTTAGGGTTTAGGGTTTAGGGTTTGGTGTTGAGGATTGAGATCCCGGGCCTTCTCTTCATTTGGGAATAATACCGTAAAAGCGCGACAATCAGAGCCCTTTGTGTAGTTTAAGGCAACCCTAAACCCTAAGCCATAAACCCTAAACCCTAAATGCATGTTCCCTCATTTAGGGGTCCCTAAAGGGGGCTCTCTTTGGGGAGGCTAAGGCTCAAAAGTTGGTGCGACTGAGGTGGCGACCAGCCGCAGCCAGCGCGGCCTCCGCGCTTTCAGTGGGGGAAGAGCGCCCTTCGCGTCGGATGCCGGGCCGGGAAGCTTCGGAGTGGGGGGCCGAGGTTCCTACGGTGGGGTCCTATAGGGTTTAGGGTTTTAGGGTTTAGGGCTTTGGGGTTTGGGGTTTGGGGTTTAGGGGTTTACGATTTAGGGGTTAGTGTTTAGGGGTTTAGGGTTTAGGGGTTTCGGGGTTTAGGGGTAAGCCCTAAGCCCTAAACCCTAAGCCCTAAACCCTAAATCCGAAACCCTAAGGCCAATAGACCCCAAACCAAAGCCCTAAACCCTAAAAACCCCAAACCCCCAAAGCCCCAAACCCGAAACAGAAACCCTAAACCCTAGAAACCCTAAACCCTAAACCCCTAAACCCCTAAACCCCTAAAGCCTAAACCCTGAACCCTAAACCCTAAACCCTAAACCCTAAACCCTACAGACCCCAAAGCCCAGGAGAGGCTCCTGGCCCTGAGGCTCCCAGCAGCCCGCCGAAGCGGCTCCTGGTCTGCAGACTTTGGGTTTAGGGTTTAAGGGGTTTGGGGTTTAGGGTTTAAGGTTTGGGGTTTAGGGTTTAGGGTTTAAGGGGTTTAAGGGGTTTAGGGGTTTGGGGTTTAGGGCTTAAAGGTTCAGGGGTCGCGGGGTTTAG